ACAGGGCGACGTGACCCACACCGTGGGCCCCAATGTATAGCGTTTTGGAAACCCTTCGGCTCCTGGGACATCCTTCTTTTTTTGGCGCCGCACTCAACGTGTTAATGCAGCGTTGCGCTTCGCTATCGCTCCGCGCAACGCTGTCATAGGACCGCGGCCCCTGACTTCAGGAATTAACACATTCCGTGCTGCTCATTTTTGGTGCCTATGATTTTACGTGGGGAGCGTGACCACATAGTGGTCATGCCACAAGTGACGTGTTAAGTACCGCTAATGACGCGTGTGCACTCAGTGTGCCGTCGGAACTCCGGCAGGCTGGGTGCGGGGTGCAGGAAGCGGCAGAGAGCGCCTGCGGGGTAGGCAACCCAGCACTCCCGTGCCCGCAGTCGGCACTCCGGGCGCCCCGGGCTTCCCGGAACCAGCTGTCAAAAGAGGCTTTGCCCGCAGTTGACCAAGTACGAGCGAGGCACCCAGGCCATGCCCGCAGTTGACCACGCGCCGCCGCGCTGGAGGACGGCGGCGCTGACAAGAAGGGGTTAAGTCGACTTACCACCAAGACCACTTTCTCATCTGTCACTTCCGTTCGGTGCAGAAGAAGTTTGTCAAGTTAGTTACCTCGAGAAATCAACTTGAGGCCCAATGACATTATGGGTACTTCCGGTGTACTAGACGAGACGGACGTCACCGATCAGTAAAAGGTCATGGAAATAATTCGACTTTAGCCCCTTGTTCTGCTTCGCGGCACAATGACACCATTGAAACTCACCTCACCTCACTTGGCACGGGCAGGCCGCAGGCGCCGCCAGTCCTCCACATCCACTCGTCGCTTCAATTTGGTCCGCAGCCTCCATCCAGGATCGCGGCGGCCTTCATCGCCTCGAGCAGCGGCGCGCGGCAGCTCCTGGCGCCCCCTGAAAACAAGGTTGTTTGTCACGTCTGATCGAGATGATGTTTGTGAAGTAGAGAGACGGAGGGGGCGCGCGAAAGCGAAGGGGAGGGGAGGGCCTTGGGGGGTGAAAACAGCAGAAGCGTGAGGCAGAAGTAGAGGGGAGAGGGGGAGGGATTTGCGCCTGCTGTCCTCATACACCTGCTTCTGCTCCGGGGGAAAAGTCGCCGCCGTCTCCTCTCCCTCCTTCTTCCCCGCCAAAAATGTCTGCCAAGATTGCCAGACGACACGGCAGAGGCTGACTGTGTCACCTGTGCTCTTCAAAGATTGTAGGCTACACAGCACGGAAGACAGACAACTAATCTTAGTAGTGTTGATTGGAGAAAACATTTAAAATAGTAAAACACATTAAAGCAGTGTAAAGTTACGGTTATGTGGAAACAAAGAAATAATAGGTCCAGAGGTGATACGCTGGGACTGACTGTGCATGGCATTTGACGGATGAAACCAACCGCAGATCAATTGAACCAAACTGACAATAATCATGTAAAAACTTCAATACACTTACCAATGCAAACACACTTGAAGGTCAAAGATGTGAAGATTGGACTCCGGGAAGATTGTTCACTGGTCATTGGGGTCGTTCCCTTCGCTCAACTACAGCCACTTTAACAAGGACCTGGACCTGTCCTGTCAATTTACATAAATCGTGTTTGAAAACTGGCATACGACAGTAAAAATAAAGAAGTTTATTAAAACAATGCCACTCATTGAATTAAACAAACCACCAGAGACAAGCTGAAGGAAACACATGGAACACACACCTAACCTCTAACCTCTGATACAGCTCTGTTGGGTTCGAAACAGGATACAGGAAGAACACGATCGGAGCAGTGAGAAAACGCAAAATTGATCATAAATGTCAAAAATTTCCATCCCCATAGAACTAATTTGATATTTCAAAACAGTCCATGATTCGAAACTTTGACAAAGAGACAACACTTCACAAGGGCGAACAATCGACGACTGCCGAGACGCTTCTCGCCACGAGTGTGAACGGTATGAAAAATTGCCGAATCCTGCGCGGTCTGTCACTTGTCACACAGTAGCAAGTACTTGCTTTGAAGTGTTGGTCGTGTTGAAAAATTTAGGAATTCAGTGGGGGAGGGGGTGACTCCGTTTTAAATTTTACGGACGCTGTAATTAACACATCGCTTTGCAAAGCAAAGCAAGTAGTATTGGTAGTATTTCATTTCATAGTAATGTGGCCAACTCCTTACGGTCCGACATTCGTTTCTGTGGTTTCTGCAAGACCCGCTCCTGACTGCGACGGGGGCGGGGCTGCGCGCCCTCTCCTCCCCTCCTCCCTGCCCCTAGCCTTCCTCAGCGCGCTCCTGCCGCCAACTCGGACAAACCGACAAACCTCTGGCCAAAGGGCCCAACTCCATCCATCGTGGCAGCGGGGGCGGGGCGGGCGGGGCTGTTTCACCTCCTCGATCGCCTGACCGATTGCCCTTTTAGACGAGGCCGGCTGGGGAGCTGCGGGGGCTGCGGGGGCAAGACAATGAAACCGTGCCATTAGGCCAGCGTACTGACTGAGAGGGGAGGCCGAGGGGGTGGGGGCGCAGCGCAGCTCCGTTGACGTCGTCGCCAAGCGGGGGCGGGCGTGTCGAGAGTCGAGGGCGAGGGGGCCGCGACGAAATGCGACAATGTAAGGGTGTACGACTCGACGGTACACATATCGCCCCGGTGCCGGCCGCCGCCCCCGCCCCCGAGCGCCACGGCCGCCGCCGTGATTCCCCTTCTTGTGCCGGACCAGTGGCAGCTGTGGTTGCGGTGGCGGCGGGGCTGGTCGGGGGCGGCTGAGGCCTGCTTGCAGCGGTGGTGGTTCCTGATGACGCCGGCGGCGGGAGAGCGGGAGACTCCTTGGAAGCACAACCTCGTCCCTCAGCCTCACCGCGAGCGTTTCTCTATCCGGAGCACACCGCTCGCTTCCTGCCCCGCCCCAGCCCCGCCCCGCTCGCGAGTAAACACTTTGTCTTGTCCGGCTGACCGGCGGGGTAGAGCGCCGCTGGTGGGCCCCGCCACGCCCCGCCACGCCCCGCCACGCCACGCCACGCCACGCCACGCCAGGGCCATCTCTCCCCGAGGGCTGCCTTACCTTCGCGCAGTGGCCCCTGCCCCCAAGATCGCCGCCCCCAAGACGGTCGGCCAGGAGTGCCGGACGGAGGGCGGGACGGGACGGGGCGGGGGCGTGCTGGAGGCAAGAAAGGGTTCCAGGTGTGCTGCTGCTGCTCTGCTGCTCGACCGCGCGCCCCGCCCCACCCGCCCCGCCCCGCCCCGCGGAGATAGATGGTCGCAAGCCTTCTAACTCTCGGCCTGGGGCCGCCAGTGGCGGAGCCGGGGGGCCTGAACGCCACGTGACGAGGGGGGGGGGCAAAATAACCAGGTCAACATCCTATTTCTTTCCAACCTAAACTTGTCGACAGTTACTCGGTACTGATTCGTCAGGCGACCAAAGAGGGTGAAAAGCAACCTCTCTGTGTGCGAGATAAACGGAGAAAGGGGTACGGAGTTGCGTGCGAGAGACACGTTGGAGGAGCTCCGGCCCGACGAGCTCCCTCGCACTCCTCGACCTCCCCATCCACCTTCGTCCCCGTCGTCCTACGCCCCTGCCTCAGGTACAGGGGCCGCCCCCGAGGCGGAACACGGTTGCTTCTTGCCATTTCACAGTCAATGTAGCAGCAGAGGGCTGCGATTGGGATACGGGCGGCGGCTGTTTGTTACGGCTATAACGTCTGACCGGACGAGGGGCTTGGAGGCGATGAGGTACTTGAGGGGGCTTCTTGCCACCTCGTGATCTCAGCAGGACACCCCCCTTGCGTCCTGCGTGCCCGACACCCGGGCTACAGCAGCACAACGCGCCGATGATAGACTTCTGCGTCTTAAAACAGAAGTAAATACATTTTCCGTGACGGGATGAAAACTCCCAGATGTGCAGCAACTTCCACGCGGCCCGGTTCGTCGAGGGTAGAGAGGGCTCTAGCCGAGGGCTTGAGGTCGCGCCCCGCGGGTTGTTGTGAAGGGAGAAAGACTTTTGATTCCCCCGGGGACGGCGTGACCGAGAAATCCCAGGTGTACTACCGCGCCGCCGGTCCGGCACAGCGGGGTGGGGCGAGGCGGGGTGGGCGAGCAGTTGAGGGGTCGATAGGCCGCACCACAGACTAAGGGCGGCGGCTGAGCAGGGCCCCCGCGCCGCCCCCGCGCCGCCCCCGCGCCGCCCCCACGATATAGTACACAACTTCGGCAACTTCACGAGATGGATGGGTTCCGCAAGGCCGAGGGGCACCCGGGCGAGGTGAGAGGGGGAGGGGGCAGAGGAGGGGGCGAAAGGGGCGCGGTTCGATAGAAAGGAGGGAAAAAATACGACGACAAAAAAAAGAAAAGAAAAAGAAAAAGAACCGGGAAAGCGAGTCTTGTCTTGGCGTAGGAGTTTCGCCCTGCGCACCTTCCCTTGTTTCCCCAGGTCCAGAGCTCTTCTCTTTCCGTTTCCCATCGCTTCACTTCTCTTCTTTTTTTTTCTCTCTCTCTCTATCCCTCTCACTGCCTCTTCCTCCCTCTCCTTACACCCCTCTCTCCGTTTGCCCATTATTCCCCTTCACTTCCTTGCCGCTTCCACCGCCCGGCCCTTCGCTGACACAGAAAAAATATTGAGCCGGGCAATACGTCCCATAGGCCCTTTAGGGCTGCCCGAGGCTGCCCTCCTCGGCCGGCTGCCGGCGCTATGGTCGAGGCGAGGTCGCGCTTCCAGGCTGAAGATGGGGTTGGGGCACATCGCACACCGGAATAAATTCAAACATCGAAAACCGCGGTTTTCTTGTCGCAAGGATCGCGTTCTAAGATAACAACTATTATATATGTGGTCAAATAAGGTCAAATAAAAATCCTACCGTAAATGTATTTGTCTCCTTGTCACATTATTTGTATTGCACACACATTGATTGAGGAGCCTTTCTCTCTCACTCCTCCCACTCACTAGATCTCCGCGCTGCTCCGCACCGAGTCACGCTGTGGAGGGGGGGGGGGGAGCCGGAGCCCCACTCCCACTCCGCGATTGGTTATTGGAAAGCTATCGAGGCGCCCGTCCCCGTCACGGTGCGCGGCTCGGCACGGCTCGGGGGGCTCTGCGCAGCCGGAGCGGCGCCGCGGCGGGGGCCCAGCGAGAGGCAGAGAGAGAGAGAGAGAGAGAGAGCGAGAGCCTTTCACAGTCTCAGTCGTGATTGGCTATCGACTCGTATCGGCAGCCTATCAGGGACGCCCCCCTCAACGCCCTTGGAGCCTTGGCTGTGGGTGTTCCCTGCTCAACGTCCCGTACCCGATTAGTAGTGAGCTTTCTTGTACTGGCCGATTTTTATGAACGTACATTCAGCGTGTTTGAATGAATCAGAAAGCTGCTCCGGAGTACGGAGAACGAAATGTCAAAAGTTGGTGGGATTTTTTTCCGGTTCCATTATTAAGAGCCAAGCTTTGACTTAGTCGCTGTTGGAAATTAAAAGCAATGTATTTTGTTGATTTTGTTCATACAAATACAAGACATTCATGGTTGTCACCACCAGCCCCGTTGGAGCCAATGCCTAGCCCGCACGAAGGCGCGCGGGCTCGTTGCCTGCGGGCGCGGGGCCGTGGTCGGTGACGGTAGGCAAACCCGCCTGCACTCCTGCATTGGGCCAGTATACCCATATTTGCTCCAACGGGTCTGGGCGTTCCCCCTTTATTCAGACGTTTATGGAGCACATGTTAGGGACTTATGAAAAGAGGGTGGAAAGCTGTACGAATCCTTCAGAGTTCAAATCTGAAGGGATTTTATGTCGGAATACTTTTGTCTGATGTGTATACGAAACAAAGGCTTAATGTGCCATGTGCACGGCTCGAATGACAAGACAGAACGGTTTTTCCGGTCGACTTGGACCTTCAAAATGTAGACCAAATAGTTTTGTTTTGTTAAAATTATTTTCCAATCGTTTACAAGTACGGGAAAGGCTGCTGCCATCTTTGCGCTGCACTCGGCGCCGGCCGGCTCCGGCGCGGCCCTAT